CCACCCACCCTACATTCCTCATACTGAAGCCCCCCCAACACTCCACACCTTTGACCTTACTACCATCGAGGAAGTCCCCAAGATCCTCTCTGATGCCCGCCTCACCACCTGCCCCCTCGACCCTATCCCCTCAGAACTCCTACGACCTCCTTCCCTCTCTCCATCCTACGCTCCCTCACCCACATCTTTAATCTCTCCCTCTCCTCCGGCACTTTCCCCCCCTCTGAAGCACGCGCACATCACCCCCCATACTTAAAAAGCCTCCCTGGGGAACCCCAATGACCCGAAACAACCTCAGACCCATCTCCCTGCTCCCATTTACATCCAAATTCCTCGAGCGCCTAGTCTACACCTGCCTAAGCTCTCACCTCAATGACAACAACCTCCTCGATCCCCTACAGTCCGGCTTCCGTCCCTACACTCCACGAAAACTGCCTTACTCAAACTCTCCAACGACCTGCTAACCGCCAAAGCTAATGGCCACTATACAGTGCTCCTACTCCTTGACCTCTCTGCGGCCTTCGACACAGTCGACCACCCCCTCCTCCTCAAAAAACTACACTCCCTCGGCCTAAGAGATTCTGCTCTCTCCTGGCTCTCATCCTACCTGTCCACAACGCTCCTTCAGCATTACCTATAATGCTACCACCTCCCCCTCACTCCCCCTCTCTGTTGGGGTCCCTCAAGGCTCTGTCCTCGGGCCCCTTCTCTTCTCCATCTATACCTCCTCCCTTGGCCAACTCATACACTCTCACGGCTTCAACTACCACCTCTATGCCGACGACACACAAATCTACTCACCCCCCCCACCTCACCCCCTTGGTCTCAGCCCAAATCACACACCTACTGAGCGACATATCAGACTGGATGTCGCTCCACTTCCTTAAATTGAACCTCTCCAAAACCGAGTTTCTTGTCTTCCCCCCCCAGCCCGGACCCCACCCCCCATTGATTTCTCTGTCACATCCAACAACGCTACCATCAAACCCGCCCTGCAGGCCAGAGTACTGGGTGTCATTCTGGACTCCAACCTATCCTTCCAGCCCCAAGTCCAATCTTTAACAAACTCATGCAGACTCCACCCTCCGCAACCTGCAGACTCCGCCTCCGCAACCTGCAGACTCCCTCCACAACATCGCCAAAATCCGCACGTTCCTAACCCCAGAAACCACTAAACAGCTCATCCACTCCCTCATCATATCACGACTCGACTACTGCAACTCCCCTCCTCACTGGCCTGCCTCGCCGCTGGCTATCCCCGCTTCAGTCGATCCTGAATACGGCTGCCAGACTCATTCACCTTTCCAACCGCTCTGTCTCCGTCACCCCTCTCTGCCAATCCCTCCACTGGCCTCCACTCAGTGTCCTCCACCCCCCTCTGCCAATCCCTCCACTGGCTTCCGATTGCGCAACGGATCAAATTCAAAATCCTAACGCTGACGTACAAAGCTGTCCACCATACTGCCCCGAACTACATCACTGATCTAATATCCAAGTACCGCCCAACACGCACACTCCGCTCCTCACAAGACCTCCTTCTCTCTAGTTCCCTGGTCTCCTCCTCCTCCCATGCCCGCCTCCAGGACTTCTCCAGGGTGTCACCCATCCTCTGGAACTCCCTGCCCCAAACCCATCAGATTATCACCTACTCTCCTCTCCTTTAGGCGCACCCTGAAAACCCATCTCTGCAGGGAAGCCTACCCCACCCCCTGCTAACTTGCCGACCTCCTCCACTCTTCCTACCACTCCATCCCCCACAGCTATCTCCTCCTGTGCCACCACCCCGTCCCTCCCTACTCCTTGACCTCTCTGCGGCCTTCGACACAGTCGACCACCCCCTCCTCCTCAAAAAACTATACTCCCTTGGCCTCAGAGATTCTGCTTTCTCCTGGCTCTCATCCTACCTGTCACAACGCTCTTTCAGCGTTACCTATAATGCTACCACCTCTCCCCCTCACTCCCCCTCTCTGTTGGGGTCCCTCAAGGCTCCGTCCTCGGGCTCCTTCTCTTCTCCATCTACACCTCCTCCCTTGGCCAACTCACACACTCTCACGGCTTCAACTACCACCTATATGCCGACGACACACAAATCTATCTCTCAACCCCCCACCTCACCACCTCAGTCTCCGCCCAAATCACACACCTACTGAGCGACATATCAGACTGGATGTCGCTCCACTTCCTTAAACTGAACCTCTCCAAAACCGAGTGAGTTTCTTGTCTTCCCCCCAGCCCGCACACTGAAAGGAGTTAGAGAACCTCCATTTTGTTAATGTATGCCATTTCAAGTATTAAGTTAGCTTTTTGCAGATATATTAGAAGTTTAATGAAACTGTTTTAGTTGTTCAAGGATGTATCAACAGAAGCTAACATGACCCTGACTATGTCTTTGTCTGGTTGTTTCTCAGAAAGCTAGCCAAAACAATTTGTACCAAGAAATGTATATGTCATGTTTCATGTAGTTAGCTCATGATGAAAAGTTACAAGTTACAGTTTTGAAACTCGCTCCCCCCCTCCCTTATTTTTTTCTGTATCCTATATAATCTTAGTAATGTCTAATAAACTTTGAACATCTCTGAACATAAGCTGCCATTATTTCCGTGTTTAAGGGGTGTTCCCAGAATTCTGCTGATAAACCAGGAATCTCTCCACAGACCGGGGGGTCTCTGAGGGGATAAGAAAATCATCCTTTCAGCTGGGGGCTCATCCGGGATGACCACCCACCTCACTTGGTAAGTAAACCTTTTGTCTTTTTATGACTAAAAGCTCTTTCTTGCCCTGTGTTGAGGGAAGGTCTTGAATCATTCTGTATTGTCTATATAGACCGTGTGATAACCTGTAGCTGCTTTTGGTAAGCAGACTTAACTCTTTGGTAGAGTTACAAAATAGTGCACTATAAAAAAAAAAAAAAAGAGTGTTTTTTGGTAAAACACAGATTGTTCTCTGGTAGAACATAAAAGAATTGTTCTTTGGTAGAACACACTGCTTTTTGGTAGAACAGTGAAGAGATAACTTTTGGGAAGTTATCAAAAGGTTAATAAGTCTGTGGAACAGATTCTGGTTTATCTGTCTTTTGCTTTTTCTTTCTGTTGCGTAGAAGTATAAGATAATTTGTTGTGTGGAACAAAATAAGATTTTAAGGTAAAATTGCCTTATCCACTGTCTAAATATGGGTCAAGGAGGTAGTTACTCACCAGGTCCCCCAGAAAAGGGAGAAAATTTTAAGGATTATGTTTCTAGAGTTTGTGGAACGGACTACTATTTAATAAATTCCCTGGGTGGATTGTATGGCTGGTTGGACAGAAGCTATGGAAAGTACAGACCCATTCCAGAGAGAGGGAGAGATTTTATGGGAATTTTAGGGATTTCTCTAAGAGGAGGTATTGTTGCCAGATCCTCCAAAGTACCCATTATACCCACCTATTTCAATGATGAGAGTCATCCCTCACACATTACACCTCCTCCTCATACACATCCAGTTTGGGCCACAAATTCTATGGATGTAGGATTAATTTCATGTACACCGTACACAGTCACACTCAAGGAAGGGGCATTGCCCTACAAACAGAGGCAATACAAATTGACGCTAGAGAAGGAGGAAGTGATTGCTCCTCTAGTGGAAAGATTTTTAGAAACAGGTATTTTAGAAGAAACTGTTTCTCCTTACAACACACCTATCAATCCTGTTTCGAAGCCGAATGGCTCTTACAGTTTGTACAAGATTTGAGGGCCATAAATAATTTGGTGGTTCCTATAGCCCCAATATTGCCTGATGTGCCATCACTCCTCACCTCCATTCCTTCTGATGCAGAATATTTTACAGTGATTGATTTAACAAATGCATTTTTTTTTGGTTCCTGTGGACCACCAGACGAGGGCGCTATTTGTATTTATATTCTGAAAATCGCCAGATGAGCTGGTGTAGAATGCCCCAGGGCTATGTAGATTCGCCTGCAGTCTACTCACTTGCCCTCCAGACCACACTGAGGTCCTGGACCCCTCCCAATGGTTCGGTCCTCATTATATATGTGGATGACCTATTGATTTGTAGTTCAAGTCAGGCGGCCAGTCAGGAGGATAGTTGGTCTCTGTTAGAATGGTTGTCAGGGAATGGTCACAAAGCATCTAAAAAGAAACTGCAATGGTGCCAAAAAGAGGTTGAGTACCTTGGTTTTATTACTCTAAGTCATGGTGAGAGGAATGTCAGTCACAAAAGAGCTGCGGCTCTCGTGGGTCTGCCCCGCCCACAAACAAAAAAGGACATGCTAACTTTTCTTGGTATGATTGGTTACTGCTGCCAATGGATACCTGATTGTTCATTCTATGATCACACTCTGAGGTCTGACACTGTCAGGAAACAATGGCCAGCAATACAATGGGACTCACCTGCCTTTTGATCTGCAGTGCCAGGGCTGGCCAGCGGGTGCTCCCATCAATCAGAGACTCAACTTTGCAGCCAGCTAACACCTGGAACTGATACGCTGGGGTATTTAAGGGATGGACAGACCCACAGACTCTGCCTTGGGTTGGTTTTTCCTGGGCCCTGTATCCTGTCCCTGTCCCTGTCTTGTTGCTGACCCGGCTTGATTCTGACCTCTGCTGACTTCTCCTGTTCTGATCCCTCTGCTTGTGACCCCGACCATTCTCTGCCTACCCCTGTACTTACCTGAAGTGTTAGTTGCTGTACCTCTACTCAGCCTGAAGGCCTACTACTCAGCCTGAAGCCTCTACTCAGCCTGAAGCCTCTACTGCCTGATGCCTGGTCACTTTGATGCCTCTAGGTCAGCCTGATGCCTCTTCAGCCTGATGCCTGTACTCAGACTGGCTTTCTACTCAGCCTGATGCCTTTCATCCTGATGCCTCTACTCAGCCTGATGCCTTACTCAGGGGATGCCTCTACTCAGCGGTTGGAAAGGTGAATGATCTGGCAGCCCTGACGATCTTACTTAGGCCTGGTGACGACTGATGCCCGCCTGTCGAGCCAGACAGTTCCGGTACCTGATGACCTATGATGCCCGCTGTCATAGCTGGTGAGTGGATACCCGCGGTCGAGCCAGACAATCCGTATTTTGGCGATGACCCGGTGCCCGCTGTCGTTTGTTAATTGACTCAGACCCGCTGTGTACCTGGTGACTCGAGTCCCCACTAACTTGCCAGATGACGTGGTGCCCGCTGGCGAGCCAAATGACCTGATGCCTGGTGACCCAGTGCCCGCTGTCTACCAGGTGACCGAGACCTGTCGCTCCGCCTGGGGGCCCGAGACCTGTCGCTCCGCCTGGGGGTCCGGCGCCCCGGCTCCGCCTGAGGGCCCAATCTGACCTGTCGCTCCAGTCTGGGGGATCCGGGCCGCCGACCGAGGGGGTGAGACCTGTCGCTCCGCCTGGGGCCCGAGACCTGTCGCTCCACCTGTGGGGTCCGGCATAGCCCGCCGCTCCGCCTGAGGGCCCGTGAGACCTGTCACTCCGCCTGGGGGCCCAAGGGAGGACCTGTCGCTCCACCTGGAGGGAAGGCGCCCGCAGCTCCGCCTGAGGGCCCGAGACTTGTTGCTCCACCTGAGGGGGTCCGGCGCCCGCATTATAGGTAACGCTGAGGGCCCGAGACCTGTCGCTCCACCTGGGGGCAAGGCGCCCGCAGCTCCGCCTGAGGGCCCGAGACCTGTAGCTTTTTCTGGGGGCCCGATGCCTGTCGACTCCGCCTGGGGGGGGCCCAGATGAGTCGCCCCGCCTAGGGCACTGAATTGGCCCGATGCCTTGTGCCCCTCCTGGGGGCCCGGCGCCCGCCGCTCCGCCTGAGAGGGGCCCGAGCCTGTCGCCGCCCCGCCTGGGGGACGGCTGCGCCCGACTGCCTAGGGGATCGAGGCCCCGGGTTGTCGTTGGGGCCCGAGCCTGTCGCCCCGCCTGGGGGCCCGACGCCTGCGCTCGCCTGGGGGCCCGAGCCTGTAAATGGGCCAGGGGGCCCGTCTGAGGTTGTTCCGCATGGGGGCCCAGGGAGGGCTTTCCGCCTAAGTATAGGGGTGATGTGTGCATCTTTCAGAGGGGAGGGGAAATGTGCCTGAGGAGAGGGAGAGATTGAAGATGTGCCTCTGAGGGAGTGTAGGCCCGAGGGCCCTCTGGAGGTCGTAGGAGTTGTGAGGGGATAGGGCCCGAGGGGGCCTGGTGCCCGGGATCAGAGCCCGATGTGCCTCTGCCCGGAGTCCAGCCCGATGTGTCTGCCCGGAGTCCAGGCCGGATGTGCCTCTGCCCGGGAGTCCTGCCCGATGTGCCTCTGCCCGAGGGTGCCTCTGCCCGGAGTCCAGCCCGATGTGCCTCTGAGGGGTGTGAGGGCCTAGCTGATGTGCCTCTGCCCGGAGTTGCCCGAGTGTGCCAGTTTTGATATCCCAAAGTCCCTGCGGATGTTTTGAGGCGCTAGGACTGTTTGGAGGTCCTAGCCTGTGTGAGAGGGGACGGGTTGAGATGGGCATGGAGTTGCCCGGCAATGTCCTTGGAATTGTTTCACCTGCCTTTTGATCTGCAGTACCAGGGCTGGCCAGCGAGGTGCTCCCAGCAATCAGAGACTCAACTTTGCAGCCAGCTAACAGTCCTGAACTGATTATGGAGGGGTATTTAAGGGATGGACAGACCCGCAGACTCTGCCTGGAGGGTGTTGTGTTTTTCCTGGGCCCTGTATCCTGTTCCTGTTCCTGTCCCTGTCCTGTCTTGTTGCTGACCCGGCTTGATTCTGACCTCTGCTGACTTCTCCTGTTCTGATCCCTGGCTTGTGACCCCGACCACTCTGCCTACCCCCTGTACTTACCTGCCTGTTAGTTGCTGTACCCTGCTCGTGACCTGACTATTCTCCGCTTACTCCCCGTGTTGTTGCCCGCAGATATTGCCAACCGGGGCCTGCCAACGACGCTTGCACTGTATGTACTGTTATCTGTGGGTGGTTTGGTTTGGTTTGTTTGCTGCGTTTATGTTTGTATTGTTAGTGTCAATAAATTACATTGTATATTAACATATCTGAAGTCTGCGTTTCCCTGTGTCAGTCACACACCTCTGGTCATCACACCCGGGAGCCGTGACAGCCACACTTTCAGAATCACCTGACATTCTCACATGGTCAAATGAAATGGTTGATGCCTTTGTGTACCTGAAGAATGCTATGGTAACGGCCCCTGGTCTTGGACTACCTGACTATAAGAAAATGTTTCATCTGTATGCTAGGGAAAATTGTACAACCATGGCGGGGGTCCTGGCTCAGGAACATGGAGGCAAGCTCCGCCCTGTAGATTTTTTTCCAAAGTAGTGCCAACTCAGGTTCAGGGCATGCCTGCTTGTCTGAGAGCTGTTTTTGCATCTGCGTGATGGTGGTGGAGATGGCTATTTCTTTCACATTGGGACATGAAACTACCCTACACACCACACATCAAGTGTCCTTACTACTGAAAAACATACACACTCAACACATGTCAGCACAAAGGTTGAGCGGATATGAAGTGATTCTTCTATCTGATCCCAACTTGATTATTAAATATTCTTCAGCAAATTCAGGCCCTGCTCCAATTTTGAATGCCCTACTGGGGCTAAAGGGAGAACAGGATGAAGTGGCACCAGAACACAATTGTATAACCCACATACAGCAAGACACTTCCCCTAGGTCCGACATGTCAGCTGTGGCTCTTGATGGGGCCCCAGATGTGTTTGTAGATGGCTCATGTTCTAGGCCAAATGATAATACTTACCATGCAGGATATGCCATTGTGCAACTTCCTGACAAAATACTCGAGGCAAAGCCAATTTATCATTTCCCATATCAGTCAGCCCAAGCAGCCAAACTGATTGCCCTTACAAGAGCATGTCAATTATTTGCAGGACAGGATGTCAACATTTACACAGACTCCAAGTACGCCCATGGTGCTGTACATGATTTTGGGGTCATTTTTGGGAGAGAAGAGGATTCATTGCTGCTGATGGCAAAACCATATCTCACTCTTCCTTGATATCTGATCTACTCAAAGCCATACAGTTACCAAAAACATTAGCCATTCTTCATTGCAGGGCACATACAAATCGCAGAGATCATATTGCCAAAGGAAATGCATTAGCAGATAAGGTAGCAAAGGAAGCTGCATTACAACAGGTGGCCAGTGAACAGATGCCTTTGCTCACTTCAGGCATCACAACCACCCCACATGACCAGATGTATGCAGATTTACAAAAATTTGCTACAAAAGTCGATCTAGCAGACTGGAATGGTTCTGGAGCACAACTAGATCCAGCTTCTGGTCTAGTGTGCTTAGAGGGGAAAAAACCATGTATTCCCATGTCAAGTGCCCCACTGTTCATTGCACAGTACCACGGTCTAGGACAGCAGGATGGGAAAACTACATGTGCGGGCATTATTAAGGCCCGTACGGAGCTAGGCTCCTCTCACAGTCCGCCCTGAAAGAATATGTAGCATGAAAATCTATGAGGATCTGTCCCCCTCACGTATCTGCCATGTGCCGGAGATCACTGATCGGCTGCTAATGCCCAAACCTGGCACATGCGCAGATACGTCGAGGGGGACCCACATCCAAAATAGGAGGAGGCAGATTTTCATGCTACACCTGAACGGCACGGGAAGACGGCGAGAGGAAGCGCGGAGCAAAGGTAAGTGAATTGACACGGGGGGACTTGGGAACTTAATATGGGGGATGAATTACTATATGGGGGATGAATTACTATATGGATAAATTACTAGGGGGGATGAATTTACTATGGGGGATGAATTACTATATGGGGGATGAATTATCCCTATATATGGGGGATGAATTACTATGGGATGAATTACTATGGGGATGAATGACAATTACTAGCTTACTAAGGGGGGAATATTACTATACTTACTATGGATGACACATACACATCATTCATCTACTCTTGGTCCGGCCCCCGGGTCCAATATATGAACCCATTGCGGCCCTCAAGTCAAAAAGTTTGCCCACCCCTGGTCTAGGACATAGAGGATGGAAAACGACATGTGAAACATTATTGCAGGATTTTTACATTACAGGCTTATCTAGGTTGGTGAAAGAATATGTTTCCAGGTGCATTATATGTATAAGGAACAATCCACAGAACCCAAAGAAACCACAACACCAGCATCTAGTGTACCCAACTACACCTTTCACCCATTTACAAATAAGATTTTACCCACATGCCAAAAACAGGACAGAGGCAAGAGTTTTTGTTGGTAATGGTGGATATGTTCAGCAGATGGGTGGAAGCATTTGTCACTAATAAAGAAGACGCGCAGACAAACTGTAGTCAGAATTCTTACACAGGAGATAATACCCAGATGGGGATGTCAACTGCAGATAAATTCTGATAACGGACCAGCTTTTGTGGCCAAGGTATGCCAAGATTCTGGTAAAAGTACTTAAGATAGATTGGAAATTTCATATTCCCTATCATCCTCAAAGTTGGGGTATAGTAGAAAGGATGAACAGGACAATTAAGGATAAGTTGAGGAAGGCCACTGGAGGAACTATACCCACTGGAAGAAGATGTTACCTGCAATTCTAGCAGAGGTAAGAATGACACCTAATAAGACTACAGGGTTATCTCCTTTTGAAATATTAATGGGAAGACCGTTCCCCACTCCTTGGGCTAGACAGCCACTTATGTTAGAAAGAGGGGACCTTGACCTGGTACAACAAGAATATGTGAAAAAATTGATTCAAACTTTAGATCAGATTGAAAGAAATGTTGCTCGCACTTCTCCTTTATCTTTTCAGGAACCAACACACCCTTTCCAAGTGGGAGATGTCGTAGTGGTCCGCCAACTCGCTAAAGACAAGAAGCAGGCTACCCCTTTGGACCACCTACTACGGTGATAGCGGTTACCAGAACGGCTGTTCTGGTGGTGGAGAATTCCCAGTCCTGGATCCATGCTAGTCGAGTGAAGAAGGTGAACCAAACACCTGAGAAACATGAGATGGAAAAAGGAGGTGAAGTATGAGAGGAAAATCCTAGAAGAGCGGGTGAAGTAAGTGAAAAAGACCCTGAAGATGACATTCCTTACTGCCCCTCATGGTGCTTTGAAGATCTGGGTCCTATTGGTCACACTGACTGTGCTCTTTTTCCTGCCAGTATGGATCATAACTAACTGTATTTATCACCCTGAGGACTTGGGCCTAAATAAAGGGTATCTGTGGTCAAGGACTAGATTTTAAATGAGACCCAGATAACCAAAAGTGAAAGAAAGTCAAAAAGAAGTTTTGAAGAGAACAATCCTTTTTCAGGAAAAATGTTGATGATGCAGTTTAAATCTGCTTATGCTCAAAAGTCAGGTTCTGATAAATGTTGGATTGTGTAGTAAGTTACATCCTAGCACATATGAAATTCTTCTTCTGGCCGCCCCAGTCAAAATATTTTTGTTAATAACAGGGAATGTAAGTATTGGTTTGACCAATATTACTTCTAATGCCACCATATCTTTTCCAACTCTGGGAGTCACTCAACTCCCCGATTGGTGTGTTTTAGACTGGGGAATACTTCCCACAAGGGAAAGGGAATGTGCTCTCAGTCCATATTAAATATATCTGATCCTGGAAGGAGGGATGGAACTTCTTCTGTGAAACTCTGGCAAGTAAATGGTAGAGCCCTGAATGAAAGTTTAGAAGGGATACAAGATAATGTGGGGAAAACTATGTTTGGAAAACGTCTTTTTTTTATTTCACACTTGTTGTCACCCCTGAATTTCGTTCTGCAATACAAAAATTGCCAATTTCCTTTGGAAAAACATACCTATATCTGTTG